TATCCCTTCAGGTTGGGGAGTGCCAAGTGAAACGCATCCTGATTGATCAAGGCAGCTCTTGCGACATCATGTACATCCGATGTTACAAGGAGCTCGGCCTTCACCTAGATGATATGGAACAATCCAATGGCCCAATGGTTGGGTTCAAGGAACGCCAACATGGCCACTGGGAACAGTAAGCTTGGAGGTGCAGGCTGGCACCAGGAAGATCAAGACATAATTCACCATCATCGACACACCCTCCCCTTACAACATCATCTTGGGAAGACCATGGTTACATGCAATGGGGGCAGTTCCCTCAACATTGCATTAACTATTGCGATTCCCAACAGAGCATGGGATAGAGGAAGTTAGAGGCGATCAGCTACAGGCGAAGAATTACTCCATGGCAGCAATGAAATCTACCTGCAGCATACGAAAGCCAGAGAAGGCAGAAATTGAAGATGAGGACGTGGAAGTCCTAGAAGACGTTAGCAAGGAGCCAGCCGAGAAGAGTGAAGAGGCACTAAAGAAAATCCTCATCTAGGATGGGGATGAAGAACGCTTCTTTCTTTTTGGCTCGGGCTTAGCCGAAGATGAGGAAAAAGAGTTGGAAACTTTTTTGAGAGTAAATATTGAGGTGTTTGCTTGGACACCTTACGAAATGCCTAGCATTGACCCCGAGGTCACTTGCCACAAACTGAATGTTGACAGGTCGGCCAAACCTGTAATTCAACGAGCCAGAAGACCGACGTTGATGCACGTCGAAGCAGTAGAGGAAGAAGTAGACAGACTTTTGGAGGCCAGGGCCATTAAAGAAGTACACTACCCAACATGGCTATCCAATACAGTGGTGGTGAAAAAGAAGAACGAAAAATGGAAGGTCTGTGTAGACTTCACCAGCCTCAATAAAGCCTGTCCCAAAGACAGTTTTTCTCTGCCCAAGATTGACCAGCTAGTAGATGCCACTTCAGGGCATGGAAGAATGAGCTTCCTAGACACCTACAGGGGGTACCACCAGATAGCCCTGTACCTCCCAAACGAAGAGAAGATAGCGTTCATCACCCCAAAAGGCCTGTACTGTTACAGAGTAATGCCTTTCGGATTAAAAAATATAGGAGCAACTTACCAAAGGCTGGTAACCAAAATGTTCAAACACCTGATCGGCCGAACAGTGGAAGTCTACATCGACAACATGGTCGTTAAAGACCAAGGAGCCCAAAGGTCATCTCGCCGATCTAAAAGCAGTCTTTGAAATCCTTAAAACATATCGGCTCCGACTCAATGCATCGAAGTATGCATTTGGAGTTGGATCCAGTAAGTTTTAGGATACCTTGTGACTAAAAGGGGCATTGAGGCCAGCCCAGATCAAATCAAGGCCATCCTAGAGTTGAAGAGCTCGACGTCGACAAAACAAGTGCAGATGCTAACTGGAAGGGCCGCAGCCCTAAACAGATTCATCAGCAGAAGCTCAGATAAGTGCAGACCTTTCTTCAACTTGGTGAAGAAAGCCACAGACTTCTTGTGGACAGAAGAATGTGAAGTCGCTTTGGCCGACCTGAAGAAGTACTTGACCACAACTCCAGTTCTTTCAAATCCAGAACCTGGGGAGGAGCTGTTTCTGTACTTAGCCGCTTCAGAACATGCGATAAGTGTAGTACTAATCCAAGAAGAAAAAGGGGAGCAAAAGGCTGTTTACTATGTAAGCAAAACCCTAGCTGACGCAGAAACGAGGTATCTACCCTTAGAGAAATTGGCACTAGCTTTAGTAATGACTTCAAAGAAGTTAAACTATTACTTCCAGACCCATAAAATTGTGGTGCTAACAGAACACCCCTTGAAGTCTTTACTGCAACAAGGAGACCTGACAGGAAGAATAGCCAGATAGGCAGTCACCCTAGGCTAGTATGACCTGGAGTACAAGCCAAGGACAACAATCAAAGGCCAGGTTCTGGCCGACTTTGTGGCCGAGTTCACACCAGAATCCATCGAACATCGGGCTCCGTTGAGCCAGGATGAGCGATGTCCAACCAAGCAAGGAGAAGCACAGCCAAAGGCAAAAGAACAAAGGAAAGAGGACAAACTCAGACCCTTCAGCATTTACATCGGCAACTCCTTTCGACTGTTTGTTGATGGGAGTTCAAATCAACAAGGAGCGGGAGCAGGAGTATTATTGATATCCCCAGATGGGTAGGTACTAGAACAATCAATTTGTTTGGGGTTCAAGGCCTCAAACAATGAAGTAGAGTATGAAGCACTCATTACAGGACTGAAGTTGGCAGCAGCAGTGCAAGCAGATGAGGTAATAGTTTTTTGTGATTCACAACTGATAGTTAACCAGACAACAGGTGAGTTTGCAGCCCGAGATGAACGAATATCGGCCTACGCAAAGGAAGTCATCAGACTGTCAGCCTTATTTCAGAACTGCCGACTACTTCAGGTAAGCCGAGATGATAACAGCCACGCCGATGCGTTGGCCAACCTAGCTAGTACAGTACAACCTAGAAAAGCAAGGACAATAATGATTGATTACTTGTCGGGCCCAAGCATCGAACCACTGACCACAGAGCGCGAAGCAATATGTGTAGACATGAAACCAAGCTGGATGGATGCAATTGTTGCATTCCTGAAAGAATGAAAGCTACCAGAAGACCGCAAGGAGGCACACAAGATCAGATTGAAGTCGGCAAGATTCAGTCTGACAGTAGAAGGACATCTCTACAGAAAGTCCTTCACTGGACCCCTTTTAAGGTGCGTACACCCTTTGCAGGTTGAAGATTTTTTATATGAAATCCATGAAAGAATTTGTAGAAGCTATGCTGGGGGCAGATCACTAGCTCATAGGGCCATTACCCAGGAGTATTGGTGGCCTTACATGCAAAAAGATGCAGAAGCCTAAGTGAAGAAGTGTGAACAATGCCAAAGGTTTGCACCTTTGATACACCAGCCAGCTGCTAACTTGAACCCTGTATCCAGTCCTTGGCCATTTGCCCAATGGGGTATGGATCTCGTTGGGCAATTACCCCAAGTAACTGGACAAAGAAAGTACTTGCTGGTAGCAACAGATTACTTCACAAAATGGATAGAAGCAGAACCTCTTGCCAAGATCCGAGATATGGATGTCAAGAACTTCATATGGAGAAACATCATCACCAGATTTGGGATTCCGAGAGCAATTGTTGCGGACAATGGAACTCAATTTGACAGCAAGTTAATCAAGAACTTCTGTGCAAAGTTCAAGATCAAGAACTACATTTTAACCCCAAGCTTTCCACAAAGCAAGCAGAAGCATCCAACAAAGTAATTTTGGATGGAATAAAGAAGAGGTTGTAGGCAGCAAAAGGCAAATGGGTAGACAAATTGCCCAATGTACTCTAGGCATATCGGACTACGCCGAGAAGATCAACAAGGGAGTCCCCCTTTGCCATGGCTTATGGCACAGAAGTAGTCATTCCACTGGAAGTCGGCATCCCTGGGATCAGAATCCAGAGAGTAGAAAACGGGACTAATGATGTACTCTTAGCCCGAGATCTGGATCTTTTAGAAGAAAGAAAAGAGAAAGCTGCAATCCAGCTTGCAGCATACCAACAGCAACTTGCAAAAGCTTATAACAAGAAGGTCAATCCAAGAGAGTTTCAAGTGGGCGACCTAGTCCTGAGGAAAGTCGTCGGCAATAAGAAGGATCCCAGAGAGGGCAAGCTTGGCCCAAACTGGGAAAGACCCTACAGAATCATCTCGGTACTAGGTAATGGGGCATATCGACTTGAAGATAATGAGGGCAAAGAGTTGCCAAGACCTTGGAACACTTGTAATTTGAAAATTTTCTATCATTAGAATTTCTTTGTTCCTTTGCCATTTGCCGAAGTAACTAAATAAAGATTCAGTTCTCTTTTCAAGATACTTGACATTGTCTCTAGAATACATGCATAATGAGAACCCAAATGGAACTCAGGTTCACATTAGGGGGCAGAGAGAAGAAAAATATGTTTAACACTTGTTGAAATTTGTGGACAATTTACAAGTTAAGTTAAACCGAAATCATTGCTTTACACTTGTTGAAATTTGTGGACAATTTACAAGTTGAAGTTAAGCCGAAGTCATTTGTTTAACACTTGTTAAAATTTGTGGACAATTTACAAGTTAAGATAAACCGAAATCATTGTTTAACATTTGTTAAAATTTGTGGACAATTTACAAGTTAAGTTAAACCGAAGTCATTGTTTAATACTTATTGAAGTTTGTGGACAATTTACAAGTTGAAGTTAAACCGAAAGTCATTGTTTAACACTTGTTGAAATTTGTGGACAATTTACAAGTTACGTTAAACCGAAAGTCATTGTTTAACACTTGTTGAAATTTGTGGACAATTTACAAGTTAAGTTAAACCGAAAACATTGTTTAACACTTGTTGAAATTTGTGGATAATTTACAAGTTAAGTTAAACCAAAAGTCATTGTTTAACACTTGTTGAAATTTGTGGACAATTTATAAGTTAAGTTAAACCGAAAACATTGTTTAACACTTGTTGAAATTTGTGGACAATTTACAAGTTAAGTTAAACCGAAAACATTGTTTAACACTTGTTGAAATTTGTGGACAATTTACAAGTTAAGTTAAACCGAAGTCATTATTTAACACTTGTTGAAATTTGTGGACAATTTACAAGTTGAGATTAAGACCGAAGTCATTGTTAAAACACGTGCTGAAATTTGTAGCAAATTACAAGTTGAGTTAAACCAGTATAATATTCAGCACTTGTTAAAAGAAGTTTGTCTATCCGAGGTGTGTCACCCCGAGAAGATTGTACAAGGAATGAAGAGTATGTGAAAGACATGCAAAATATTCTAAGTATAGAATCACGCCAGAGCAGTTAAGAAAAGACAAAAGTACAAGCAATCAGTAAAGGAGAGTTGTATTAGTATTCACCGAAAAAAGGGCACATCGGCCATACAAAGAGCTTACATTGTTTCAAAAGATAAAGAAGAAGAAAAAGTACAAGAAAGAAAAAGAAAAATATAAAGCTAAGACTCCTCCTCAGTAGCAGTTGATTGAATTTGAAGTTCAGACGATTGTTGAGAAGCAACCTCAGCCGCCTTCTCCGTCGTTAGCTCAGCATCAATTTCTTGCAAAGTTTCTTCAATACTCTTGTCGGCTAAGGGGATGTCGGCTGATACCTTCTCATGTGCAGCGTCTTTAGGAACCTCATCACCTTCATCATCTTGAGTCAAGTCTAGGACTTGCTCCTTCTGAAAAGGGGACTTGCCCCCATCAGCATCCTTGGATTTTCTCACCAAAGCCCCATCCTCATCCTCATCACCATCCTCAGACTCAGATTCGCCGACGTCTTGACTTGGAGGTGGAGATGGAGGGAATGGAAGAGGAATGAGGTCGGCATTTCTGAAGGGCAAGTCCTCGAGGACATTGAGCTTCTTTAGAAGAGACATCCAACCAAGGGTGAAACCCTTGTTGCATGCCTGCCTCACTTGAAGTTCATAAGCCTCCGTGACATCGGCCATTCCTTGAGCGTATGCCTTCTCGTCGGCATCCTTGATTTCAGCTTCTTTCGTGGCCAAGGCCTCTTGAAGCTTTTTTTCTGCTTGGGCCATCTTCTCCTCGGCCTCTTTTCTTTGGGCCTCAGAGACCTTCCTGATGGCCTTGGCAGATTCAGCCTTTTCCTCGGCATCAGTTTGGGCTTTGATGGCGGCCTCAGCTTGGTCTTCCAGCTTCTTCACTTTTGACTGTAAGCCTTTATTGGTCTTTTGAAGAGAAGAGAACTCCCTCTTCATATCGACCAGCTTCTATCGATTTTCGAAAGATTGAACAGAAAAAGAGTTGGCATGCTAGATAGCCTGAAGAAAACACAAGGTAAAAGTTATTGCAAAAACTTCTAAGTATAAAAAAGAAAGAAAAAAAGTGCTAGATGAAAGACACTTACTTGAACAGAACGTTGAAGCATCAATGCATAGTTTTCGTATTCGCTCAACTTGGCGTTTCGCTCCAGATCGCCTGGTAACAGCAGAGCAGTACTGAGCGCAACGCCGACATTAATATCCTCGGCACTATCATTTGCCATGACTGGCTTATCCTCCAAAGTAATTTCGAGGGCCCAAGGGGTAGCAGGCTTCTTAGACCCCGAAGTTGTAGCGGAGGATGACTTCGGCTTTTTGGATTTTAGGGATTTTGATGGTTGGGCTTCAGAGTGCCTCTTTCCAGTAGAGGGTTGAGATTTGTCACTCTCAGCCAACTTGGATATTGGCAAAGCATCCTCAGACTCAACTTGAGTAACTTTAGCCTTTGGCTGAGCTTTCTTTATTCTTTTCGGCTTCGGTGGAGGTTGGGTTTGTGCTGGTTGATCGTGTTGACGGAATGCTGGCCAGAAGATCTTTTGCAATTGGTTTTGGGCGACCCATCTCGGTAGTAGAAACTGTTCGGCGTCGGCGGCGGCGTTGTGATATTGGAATCAAGTATGGAGCCGAGGTTGATGGTTGATCAGCTGGATCGGAAGTTGACCCTTGATCTGTCCGAAATGTGGACACAGTCTGTGGAGTTGTAGCAGATAGTGGAGAAAGGATTTTTTTCTTCCTCCTAGGGACGTTAGGCAAAGCAGACCTATATGTTGGAATAAAGTTGAGGAGCAGAGGCGCCTTTCGTTTGTGAATTGGCAAGTTCAGAAGTTTTTTCAAATCCTTGCTGGGATAGAAGGATTGGCGAAAATTCTTGGGTGGCTGAGAAAGAACTGCAAAGATAAAAACAGCACAGACATTAGAACAAGAATATTGAAAACTTTATGCAAGAAGATAAGAAAACTTATGAAGGGTGGCCCTTACCAGCTCCTTCCCTCAAAACAGTTCGGCTTAAAGGATAGAGATGGAGGTCATCATTTGGCTGAAACTCCCAATTGCCCGAGACAATGAAGTAATAGTCTCCAGCTCCCTTGTTGGAGTCTGGGAGGTCGGCTACGATTTTATATTTGGTGGATCTTGGGTTAAGGTAATAGACATAGTCCGTATTTTTTCTAAGGCGACACATGGTATAATAGTACTGGAAATCGGCAAGCGTAATCCTGGCATTCTCTTGTTTAACTAAAGCTATGGTACCAGTAATAACTCGGTAAGAATTGATGGCGAGTTGCATTGGGTTCAACTTATAGAAGTGAAGGGTTTGATGGAAAAATGGGTCAAGTGGAAACCGAAGTCCACACTCAATAAAGGCAACCACAGGGAAGGGCATGGAGTTGTCTGTAGGCGTGATGGAGTCATCATCCCCAGCCAACCTCAGATTGACATCGGCTGGGATTTCAAACTCTTGCCTAAAAAATTCTAGCTTAGAGGGGGTGTCTACCCGATGTTTCCACATACCCATGATATCGGGATAACTAAAGGTATTGGATTTCAGAAAGAAGATGTATCAAAAAAGGGTTATTGGGACCTCGGCAAAAACCTAGGTTTGAGTTGGTGCAGAAATTTGTCAGGGATGTTTCAGTTTTGCCCTAAAATGTCGGTTCTACAAACAAATCTCAAACCTAAAACTATGGAGATGAAGATCAAAGGCACAGATCTGGAAAAGACACAAAAAACAGAAAGCAAGAACGGAGTTTCAGAATCAAGAACAGAGATGGTCTATCAAGAGCATAAAGAATACAAGAAATATAGGGCCAAGATCAGTGGCAAAAATACAGGGAAGTGGTGAAACAGTGCGTGTGTTCAAGATATGGGCAAGGGCCAAACCATGGAATAAACGCATTCAGATTCACAAATTGAACATTCGAATGAAGCAGTAATAACAACAAGTTCCAAAAAAATGATCAAGAACTGAAATAAGAAGGAATAAGTGTATTACTAGAGGAAGAACGAAGCCGGTGTTGAATATTTCCGAGGTCAGACGACGGCGGCGGACGGGAGAGTCAACACAAACTTAGTCGAAAAAAATGAACGACGGTGGTTGCAGAGCTTTGGAAGCTTGAGCAATGGAGGATTTCGAAGGGTAAAGCAAGAAAGAGAGAGAAAAAGCTTCAGATGAGAAAGAGTAAAGTGAAAAGACGGGGGAAAGAAAAAGTTTTGATTAAACTTGAAACGGCGGCAAAAAGGAAATCAATGACTCTAGAAAAACGAATCCGTCAGGCGGCGTATACAGGCACAAAAACGATCTAAAGGCACGTCCGGAGTACGATCTAGTAAGAAGAAGACGCGTGGCTGAAACAGTTGAGTTGTTTGTGCACGACAGCTCACAAACAAAGAAGGGCACTTAAAAGTCTTTATCTTTAAAAGAAGGCATGTCAGCCTTTAAATGATGATCTTGGCTAGAAGTCGTTAAGCCGACGAGTTGAAAGGAAGCACAGATATAGGTTCCATCACCTCAGAATGCCGAGGTAATAGAACCTAGGGGTAGTTGCGGGGATATATTTTCTGAGTACTAACACGTGACTAAGGTGACGCCGACATGTCAGCCGAGGTGCCACGTGTCCAGGTCATGACGCCGAGGTAATCTCGGTCAAGCCGAGGTTATCTCCGAAGATATCGGAATCCGAGATAAGGGATAAGGGACAAGAATCCTAGAATAAAGAGAAGATTTAGGATAAAACTCTTAGGGAGTTTATCTTTATCTCTAAAGGAGTCCAAAGTAAGTATTGAACAGGAATCCATAGAAGTCAGGCTTCTATTGGGATTAGGATTAAGAAAACTATAAAAGAGAGGCACCCCCATGGGTCTAAGGTACGCAATTTTATGCTTTGAGCATTGAGTTTAGCATTATTGATTATCTTTAAGAGATATACTGATTTGATCGTCGAAGTGCCCCCGGGTGGACGAACCACCGCCGGAATCTTCTCTTTCTGTTACAGGTTAGCCAGGTGTCATATATTCTGCCAGTGTTCTCCAGCTGAATACTGAGTTGGGCAGTGTGATCGGAAAATCACTCACACACTAACATAGAGGCGAAAGGGAGGCTCTTACGATGGTAATTCTGGTTAAAACAATTTACCTTTGATATAGAATATATTAATGGTAATGAAAATAGTTTAGCAGATACTCTAACTCGAGAACTTGGAGATGGCTTCCACATCCACAAGACTCAAACCACCAAAGAAGGAAACACTCATTGCAGAGACTCAAGAAGTGTTGGACTTGGTGACACAAGACAACACTGAAATTATCAAAAAAATACAGGCAACAAAGAAGAGCCATTCGGTGAACGAGCTCGTTAGGATCACCCATTTAGTTACCAAAACATTTTTATGATTAGAAGTATTATATTTGTTTCTTGAACTCCCTTATGATATCCAAAATAACATAAGAGATGTACTTTCATTAAGTTATTTATGAAATGGTATAAAGAAAGTGTCACCTATCTAGGAACTTGGTGGTGCTACTTTAACAGACGGATAGCCTTGTACAATTATAGAACATTAAAAGTTTCGTTCGATACAAACGAGGTCATCAGCCCAAAAGATCCTCTAGTTCAAATGTAGAAATTGAGAATAGTCAATACATTTGACGTTCCACCTCACCCATAGAGTGCCATGTTTTCTTAGCTCACTTGATTCCAACAATTCATGTTCAAGGGAATTTATAAAGTCTATAAAGAATATTCAAGCATGTCACCCATTACATTTACAACTACACAAATGGAGGTAAAATATGAACGTCTAAATGCAGCTCATTATCTAATAACGATAAAAGATAAGAATGACGAGATACCTTACAAATAACACCATTTTTGACGGAAAAGATAATTGCTCTAGGATTGCCTTATGAATCAGTATACGATTACTTTCTAGAACATATCTATCGGAAAGAGAATGTAAATTTTTGAAAAAATATCTGATGGAGCAAAATCTAGAAGGATGAAATGAAATATTTGAAGAATATGATGAAAATTATGATCTTAGTGATGTCATGGATAATGAGGGGGTATGAAATCTAGATAATGCAATGGATTGACAAAATTATTGGCGTTTTGGCAAAACCATAGGTTGAAGACTACACCTCCATATGACTACATCACCAGGTGCCACTTGTTCATAAATAATATGTGATTGCCATGTGATCACACCACTTGCTTGCTTGTCTTTTGTTTGTCTATTAGCAATAATAAAATATAATATGTAAAATATTTTATATTTATAGATTAGGTTGAAGTGCACACTAGAAGTCCACAAGGTGTCTATATAAAGGCATTAAGGGAAAGTAAGAGGAGAGACAAATTACTTAGAGTATACTTGAAACTAAGAAAGAATAATGGTTCTCAAACAATACTCTAGAAATCTAATAGTCTACAGGCGCCCTTTTCCTTGTAAAATTTTGTTCAATAAATAAAAAAGTTTTTCATTTCCACAAAAGAGTGTTATTATTGTATTTTAAAAAGGGATGGGCGCGGGTCGGTTACAGCGATATAACCTCCAATCCGCCATCCGTCTGCCAAATTGACAAATTGGAGAAAATCAATCCGCATCCGTCTGCCAATTCGGTGGATGTAGATTGAGCGGATGGATGCGAATCGGTTTACCGGTTTAAAATTTTATAGATTTTCAACATAATTTAACTTGTGCACTTCCTCAAAAATAATAATAATAATAATAATTACAGTCAATGACTTAAAAGAGTATTACAATCACTGAACTTTAGAATATTACAATCATTACATGCCTCATCCACATAAAGTATTACAATCTGTGGTTCTTAAAATATAAAAATAATTAAAATCACCAAAACCATGAACAGCGCAGTAGTAGATATTGTATGCCTTTGTATTGTTATATCTATATCTGTTTTTGAAAACAAAAACAACC